GAAGGAAAAAAAATAAAATGTGTCCGAAATTTAAAAACGATATTCGTAACCGGTTCTTATATTTAAGATCGTCCTAAATACAATCTTAAGACATCATAAATCAATCACTGAGCCGTATTAGTATTTTAAGGTATTACTTGAGACAGTCTTGAATTAAAAATCGACTATGAATACTATGAATATTAACTTGTCAGAAACAGCTTCCACAGATTAGTATGCGATGCCAGATCATCCGTTTGCGATCATCTGTCATTCATGATACTTTCACCGAATTCGAGAACTTACAATTTATCCGTCTCTTCTTATTTATAATTCAAAACCTTCGTACGAGTCTTTTAATCATATGGTGACAAACGATCACGAGAGTTTCGCTCGAGATGTTCCCCGTAGCACGATCCTCTCAGTAGGACTTTTGTTCGAAATTAAAACAGCTTTTGATTAAGATGCGGCCGAGTTTGCATACGAGTATACATCGTCTCACATCGCGGCTATTTCGAATTAACAGTGTTTTGAAGTGCATCGCCGATTATTCGAACGGAGCAATTGAGATTTATCTAACAATCGAAATACATATTCCAAAACAATTTATGCGCAGGAGGGGGAGGGGATGACTTTTGGAAAAAGGACATCTATAACACAGAAATGAGAATATACTTGTATCTAACGATATCTGTTAAATCTTCGTCAGTCTGTTCCAACGTCCGAGGACCAATCTCACCAGAGAACCAGCTAGCTAATTCGCTTTAGGTTTTTCGTCTCTTCCCGAAGTCTGAGTTGTGGAAAGAATCGAGGAACCGATAGAAGTACAGCGATTAGAATTAATCATCGGTAAAACCGGCCGTAAATGTTCATCGGTAAATGGTCTTATGAATGTTGCTTCCCTGTGAATGTGACTAGTTCGACACTGCGGAATGTTAAAAGATTTCGTTTTGCGGCGAGACGCCGTTGATCGCATCTCGCGGACGCGTTGGACGCGTTACAGAAAACGAGAATCGTAACGAGGATCGTCGAGAGACTTATGTCCTTTCCTTATATGGAGAGCGAGTCGTGCCGCTCGAGGCTGGGCGATGCACTTTCTCCCGGCAAGGATTTTAAGTTCCATACATATTCGCCGCCTCTCCGCGTGACTTCACCGCAACATTACGCCGCGTTCGGTATACTTTCGATCTTTCGACTTCGTCGTGCGGATCGGCTACTTTCGAGTTTCGGCCCTAGGCCCATGGGCTGTGGGACATTATAATTCCGGCTTCGTGTGTGCTTCGCTAACAATTAAAAATTTGTCCGCCTATTACTTATCATTTCGTGTATTTTTTGTCGTTTAAATTCAATTCACATTATTAGGGTATAATAATTAATTAATTAATTAATTAATTAATTATAATAGTGTCATTATAATTCGTAATAATATACAACATTTGTCAATAGATCATTTATACTAAAACCCACTGCATGCTCGTGTCGAAATCATACGCATTTTCTCCCACATTTTCTCACACATGCACTCATATACGTACGTGCATCAACATACATACACATGCGCTCTCTTCCTCTCTCTCTCTCTCTCTCTCTCTCTCTCTCTCTCTCTCTCTATACGATCAAGTGTATTTTACAAAGTACACCTTCCTCTTACTTTTCGCACACTCTCACGCCGTGGGACTGTACTGGCTTCACGCGTGGCTTATCTAACTAATTCATGATTTAAGTGTGATTTCGGGGTATACGTGTACGTGAAATGTGTACATGTGTAAATGCACGTATAAATGCGCGCACATCGGCACGCGCACACCTCCCCTCTTTTCTTTCAAGATTTACAATTACAAGCGACTCGTCTCTCGTTCTCGATACATTCTACATGTAAGTTGTACGTATGTGTGTAGCCTACTTTGTTGCAATAAGACAAAAAAGAGAAAAGAGAAAAGATACAAAATCAATGTGCGGCAATATACCTTTGCGACAAAAAAAAACCGAGGATATAATGAGAAAGCAATAGCGTTTCCCTCTCGAAAAAAGAGAGAGAGAAAGATTACAAGACGATACTCTTGTGTTGTGCGTGTGTGTGTGTGTGTGTGTGTGTGTGTGTGTGTGTGTGTGTGTGTGGGGGGGGGAGTGTGTTTCGTATGCGAAATGTGTGCTACATGAGACAATGATCTTTGTACATATTTTAAAATGTATTCCCGCGCGATATCAACATGACGAAGATGCAGAATATGCTCTTGTCTTGGGAAGACGAAAAGTTGACGGACGTGACGAAACGCCGATGTTTATGTATATATGCCGTCGTAGCCATCTTTCTCTCCCTGCTGTTCCTTCGATGAAATGATGAATCTAATCTAATGAACGTCGGAATAAACTTTAATCCGTTCGCTCATTCCCGACAATAGAAAGATCCCGCAATCATAAAATCCCATTTGTTCTCCGTTTTTTGGAAACTATCAAACAAACAGTAACAGAACAAAATGTAATTTGGCTTAAACTTCGTGGAACAGAAGGAATTGAAAGCTAAAAAGTTCCTCTCGGCCACGACGGCGCGATTCCGTTACAAATCGTTTAATTACAATGTAGAAACGCGCGCGACGCGGCAAAAATCCGCGAGTGCGAGTTTCGCGATCTACATCAACATAAAGTATTTGCGATTTGTGAAACGCAAATTACTTATGTGCTCGCGTCTATGTATTTATGTATATTGTGTGTTATGTCATATGCGAAGAGCTTGCATTCCGAAATCGAAGCAGAGCTCGTACCTACGTCGTGCTCAAACGATGATACTAGTCACGCGGGAAAACATTGATAAATCGCAATTCGCACATGTGATGTGTATAGTAATTACAACTAAACGATGTTCCCTTTTCTTACATTTCGACGCATGAAGAAGTTACGAAGTTACGCATGCGATTAATGATAATGGAATTACAGCTCCAATATACATGAAATAGTAAGATAAAAGAAATGGAATTCATTCAAAATAAACGTAAACTATTTATCGTATGAGTCTTGTTAAAGAACTCAGCTGTTTTCCAGCTAGGATACAGAATTATACTGTGTTCCACTGTGTAAGATACTTGTTGGAACGCAATTTAGTTCATATAACACTAGAATGTATTATAGTCTTTCATTCTTATTTTTATGATTATATTTAGCGTATCAATAATAGATTTATAATTTTAATTTAGACTTAAGTTATAAATCTTTCGGAATTGACAGTTTTTGATGGTTTTATTTCAAAATAAGTATGGCTACCAAATAATTATTTGAAAAATTGATAATGTTTTACACGCTCGTATTTAGCTTTTTAGTGTCGAGTTATTGTATACGTTGGAAAATATACTATTATATAAATTGCAAAATTAATCATCATTCGAATAGAATATCTAAACGACTATTTTAATGTGATATATTAATTTCTTTACTGTTATTAATATCATTGTTATTATTATTAATCAAATATATAACAAAAAATTTTCAACTTTATATAACGGATTGATTTATTTGTAATCTTGAAAGTTTCGGGATATTGTTCGTATATTACAACATAAAACTGTAAAATTTCACTTATAGAAAAAACCTCGTTTGCATTTTATAAATAATGGAAGGATTACATAATTGAAAGAAAATAATAGTGTGCCTGTAAATGGATGGACGCATAGTAAGATAATTTCGTGATATTATTCAGATTATACATCGATTTACTAATTTAGTTATTACTGTTTATTTATCATCGCATGTATAACTTCGAATTTTATCAAAGCAGATATTCTTTGTAGAATATATATCAGAAATATCATAATATATCAAAACACCAGATCTGCGTATTACATTTTAAGACTTAGATTTCTTTTTAATTCAAATTGGAACGAATTATATTATGTACAATGATGAGACACAACGACAATTAAAATTATGTCTTTTGAAGACGTCAAAGAGCACATCAATTGTCAAATATATGATAATCAATAATTTGAATAAAAACCGTCTTTAAAAATTTTATAAAAATTATCAGAATGTTAAAAAAAGGGAACATAACGAATCACAAAGAGCAATATAAAAATAGGAACATATATGACGTATATAAACAAAATGAGGAACATATACATGATGTTTAAACGTAACACGCAAGGAACTTGATTCAGATTTACGTGTATGTATGTATATATATATATATATATACATTACGTGTTCGCGTGTGTGCATTTATATGCTTTCATCTGACAATACATTGTATGAAATATCGAATCACCACGCGCATAACTTATGTATCGAATAAAATGATAAAATCCTAATGTTTCCGTTGAAAAGAATCTCTCTTAAAAGATCGAAACACAATTAGATTAGTGAACGTAAAGTATTCACGTAGATATATAAAGTTAGAACTCACATATATAATTCGTGAGACGTGGGTACGTGCTGTGCTACGTGTCGTACCGTAATGTATTCTAAACATAAAACACGAGGCTTGTTTACACGAATGTTAAAAATGCTTTGACAATTTTTTTCCTGCACTGTGGGAATTGATTCCGTGTCTTGTCTCGGTTTTGATAAAGCTTTTACACTTATGTTATATATACCAACCATGTTTAACCTTTGGAACGAAGTCTTTCTTACATATTTAATGTGCAAAATATTCTTACGCTTTTCGTGGTTCGTCAAATAATTATTATATATAGTAGTAATAAAGGATAAAATTCTACGAGTCCTCGGAACAATTAACGAGGCTATGCATTGACATTCGGTCGGTCCCCGCGCTTAAAAATCTTTGAGTCGAAGGTGACTCTACCGCTTTTTCTTCCTCACTTTTTTTCTGTTTCCAGTTTTACTCACTCACATCCTCTCACGTTTATTTTCGTTCTCTCTCTCTCTCTCTCTCTCTCTCTCTCTCTCTCTCTCTCTCTCTCTCTCTCTCT